GCCATGCACGCGGCTGCGAAATCTTCGAACGTCGAGGATGGCTCGTTGAACCTCAAGAGAACTCGGCTGCCATTGACGGGCGTGTGGCGGGGGGGCTTCAAATGGCTGGCTGGTGACGGCGGGGGCTGCCGAGTGACCATGCATGTTGATGCAACGCCGTCGACAGGCGATGGTTTTCCGTGTTTGTAGTCTATTTCAAACAAGGGGAGCTTCAGAGAGGCCACACTGGGCGACTACCGGTATTTTTTCTGAAGACAGTCATCTCCTGAACAGAGAACGCTGGAAGCAATGGAAGAGGTTTTCGCGAGAAGATCAGCAAGAAGACAGAAGGACAGAAGGCCAAGAGAGCACCACATCGAGTCAGATCTCGTCTTGGACAAAATATGAACAAAAATGTAGCTCGCCATTGGTCTGGCGGTTTGGAAGAAGGGCTGCCGCTTTCACTGATCTGTGCAATGTGCATTCTTGTTGCACTTGAGCCAGGGCGATTGTGGAGATAAACGCGAACCATCCTCTTTACCGTATATATGAAAATATCAATCTTTCTATTTGGACACATTCTTGTCAGGCGCTTTATTACCGGGATTACCACCATGGGTCTATTTTTCTATGTGGTCCATCGTCAAGCTACTTGATCGGCCAGCAGCGTTCGCGGTCGTGAGCCAGACCCGTGTTGCGGGGTTCCGCTTGAATGCGACCGTGGACCGACCTGGAGCCGCAGCACCCGGGGGATGCTCACTTGAACTCGCGGGCTGATGGAAGTCATTGGCTTGGCAACCGACGCGAAATGTCGCGTGGTCGGTCTGATGTTGATAAAGGTTGAATGCTCTTGTTGCACCTGGTCGAGTTGTTTTGTTTTGGCGTATTAATATTTCCTGTTCGACACATTCTCATTGTCATTCAAGCTGGCGTTTCCGGTAGTTCCAATAGTGCCCAGCCCCCACTCCTCTTGAGGGCGGACTTGCTTTTTCTCAGACCAGTGCACGACGACTGGTGGGATTTCTTTCGATCGTCCGAGCTCCGTCGTTGCTCACATATCACAGTCGTGCACTTGTCGTGCATGATGAATGACCTGGACGATCGTTCGTAGCCGCCAGCGATCACGACGTAACAACGTTATGCCGCCGTGCGCGCAGAGAACAAGGTCGTTGTTGCGTCTTGCAGCTCATGCGTCGTCGCTCCTCCCCGTGGCGGCTACTCGATTTGTGTAGAAACCAATGTTCTTCAACGTTGTGGCCGTAGCGACTTGAAGACGACTACGAAAGCGTGTCCGACGTTCTGATTGTTCTGGCAACATTATCGCTTCAAAATAGTTGATCGGAGCCACTCGTGGGACTTCTGTACCTTGGTAGACGCCTCAAGCGTGCCACGTGGTAACCGTAGAGATCCTGCGGCGGTCCGTGACGCGCAAAGGAATGGAGGAGAAAAGCGATCACTTGGCGCCAAGCATGTTGTTGCCAATGATCGGCGCGCGCTTCTGCCGCGCCCCCTCTCCTCCTAGCATCTGCGGCATGCATTGTATCACGCCGTGTCCCTGGACCTGCTGCTTGGCCCCGTGTATCGCATCGTGCATTGATGGCCATCGCAGCGAGATCGGTCGTTTGCTGCGACGTGCGGCGATTCGTCTGCCTTTCTTTTGCTGGAGAGCGTTGGTTCTTGCTGCAAGGGTATTACATGTACGGCCAAGTGAGCGTGGACAAGCACGTACCACGCACCGCATCAAGAGCCAGCGTCTCTGATCCTTCAATCGCCTGCCCATACAAAACCGATGTGGTGAGGATTCCACACGTGCGTAGACAGTGCACCTCTGACATGTACCCGCCATATGGCCTCCAGTTACAGGCTAATTACAGACGTCCATCGAAGCGCAGCCACGGCATTGCCAACGGCAACTTCGGTAGAGGCGCTCACTTTACCTTTCCAACAGGTCGACACATTACCGAAAGATGGGTCCGAAGAAGACGTCGCGCCCCGAGTTTCCGCCGCCGTACGTGGTCGGCCCCGAAGAATACGACCGCCTCATGGCGATTGCCCAAGACGCCCTCGTTCAGCTCATCGCGACGGCCAAGGTGCTTAGCCTCTCCCGCGGCCAAAACACGCTCAAGGCCGAGAAGGAGAAGAACGGGTCCGTCTTTGAGATGGAGCACCAACAGATGAAGGGCACGATCCAAGAGGTCATGAACTACTACATTGCCGACCGGGGGGACACGGCCAAGTTCAAGCGCACGCAGTGCTGCGCCGACACGGAGCTCGTGCTCGAGATCCATCCGCCGAGCCGGAAGAACCCGCACAAGTTCCTCGGCATTCGCTGGAAAGCCCTCGACCAGCCTTCGCTCTTTGGGGCGTTCACGCGCTGCCGGGACCTCTGCCTCCTTGAATTCTGCACGCTCTTCCAGGACGACAACGGCCGGACGGGCTGGGCGCGCTGCGTGCATTCGATTGAGCACCCGTTGTGCCCCGACTTTGGCGACACCAACGGGTACCTTCGCTGCAGTGTCGTCAACTCGGGGCTGGTTGTCATGGAAGCCCAGCACGGCGTCGAGACGCTCGACTGTTTCATGGTCTACGACATCCAAGCCCGCGGCAAGACCTCCAAGTGGATTGGGTCCTCCTCCGTGGGCCGCCACTTTCAAGCCGCGCGCAACATGATGATGACGATCCAGACCGAGCGCCGCACGCAGGTCTTCCGCACGATCCGCGCCAACGAAGAGCACCACAAGATGTCTATGAGCACGACGAGCTCGGATCCCGGCAACACGCCGCTCAACCTCAAGACAGGCGCGTTCTTCGTGCCCAACACACCCAACGGCAACGCGGTGCTGCGGCCATCGCCGTCGGCCTCGACCGCGTCCACGGTCATGAGCACGGTGACGCATATCCCGCCGCCGAAAGAGCCCATCATGCTCGACCTCTCGTATGTCTCGGACCTCAAGTAGAGACGTACTAGTACGCTTAGAAAAAGACACATGCGCGGACGGCGCTGTCCCCACGAAATCCGTCGACCAATATATCTAATTTTTGCTAGTTCTCGTTTCTGCTCTATACTAGTACTACACGATTCGCACTTGTTTGAACGTACAAGCCGGCGCTTCGACGCCAGCCGGCGGGTCGGTTGGATGCTACGGGGCGATAGACATGCGCTGGTGTACTGCCGGCATAGCATCGTACGCTCTTTTTGCGCCAGCGACGACGAAAGGTCCTGTCCACGCTGCTAGACACGCATTGCAACACATACTTACCTGGGTGCACGCGTGATCGAGGCGACCAGACCCTAGCCCGCGTCACGTCCACGTGGCTGCAGTTCAAGTTGACGAAAAGCGCAGTGGTTGTAAGACGCGTAAACTCGATTCGATCGTCGTCGTCGAGCGAGTAGCTCGCAAAGCGAATCGGTTCGTCCAAGCCCATGCCTCTGAACGCGACACGCGTCTTTTGCGTTAGCCAGAACATGACAAAAACGGATTGATTAGACAATTTGAAGCATGATTTTGCCCACGTGGTCGCTCGACTCCATGAGCTGGTGCGCCGCCGTGGCCTCCGACAGCGGAAACGTCTTGTAGATGATGGGCTTGATCTGGCGCGACTCGAGGAGCGGCCAGACCGTGGCAAGCAGCTCCTTGGCGATCTGCGCTTTGAACGCAACGTTCCGCGACCGGAGA